AATAAAAAATTATTAAAAAACAAAAAAGACTCCTTTATTCTCCTCTCCTCCTCTCTGGTTTACTCTTCTCCAGCACTATTCCGAAAAGCTTCTTTTCGGCGCCGTCGCCGATTTCCTTCTACATCAACACCCGAAGCTCCAGGAAGACGACGCAACAAAGAAGGTCGTTCAGTATCAAAATGTCGAGCGATTTCTCATCGTTGTCCCAATGCTGTCTCACTCCATCACTCTGCCTCGTCCCAATCGCAGAAGGAGAAGCCCCGACGACAACAGTGGTGGTTCGCAAATCCAGTCTCAAATCTGGTCACGACAGGGATGGATCTGGCCGCCATCTTCCGTCGTGCGCTCTCTCCCTCCAGATTCGGCGATTCGAGCTCTCTCTCCGCACCCACCTCTTATGTCGGAGAGGTATAGCTTCGTTGGTAAATCCGACATCGATCCCGAGCACGACGCGGCGCCCAGAACAACAGAAGACTTCCAATCGCTCACCACTGTTAGCTCGGCGGTGGCGGTGCCATTCGTGATCTTTCCTCTGATTTCGCCTGCTAAATCGATCTTTGATTCCACTTTGTCGGTGGTCAATCGGAGTCCAGATCCATTCTCGTGGTTTGCGCTTTCCAAGCTACTAGTCCATGGGGGTTTTCTTGGTCGAGTGAAGAGGGAAGATGGGTTCTGGGTTTAGCGGTGGATGGACTGCAATCTGAGGGAGGGAGAAGGGCGGTGGCTCATTATGTTGGGGAAAAGGGAAGAGGAAGAAGATGGAGGGCGAGAGGGGAGTAGGAAGCATTTTAGATATTTTTTTTATTTTTTATATAAATATTTTAATATAAAATATGACGTGTCATTCACGTGTCCATTGAGTCTGAGTTGTCGATTACGTGTACGATGAGTTGACATCTTAGTAAGCACACCGTTAAGATAACTGATGGTTTTTTTAACGCCGTTAAAGTTTATAACGGAAATGGCTATATTTGTCATGGAACATTCAAATTTCTGACTATTTTATGTATTTCTCGAAAAGTGGCTATTATTGTCACAAGCGTGAAAGTTTTGGCTACACAAATGTATTTTGCCAACTTTTATATCCAAAATGGGCAACCATCAGTCTTGGAACTTACGTTGCCCAAGTTAGGTCTCAAATCGTTTTTCCTAGTAGACGCAGACCCACTATTAGATTGGGCCTTGGGGAAACAATACGATATATGAATTGGGCTTGGGAATCAGTAGTAGAGACCTTTCCTCGATTCTCTCTCAAAGCCAAGGCAAAAAGCCATTAATTTTTTTTATAGAAAAAATTAAAGGCTATCAAACACATTCAATGGGAAACTTCGAGCATAAATACGAAAGAAGAATTCCCATAAAAAAAAAAAAATACGAAAGAAGAACCAATGGGAGCACCTCTCCTAATTCTTCTTTACTTATAGTTAAAACATTTCTGATTTCCTTGGGTGAGATAGGGGATAGATCCTTGAATTTGAAAAAAAAAAAAAAAAACTTAGCGTTGCTTTATTCTACATGCATAAATCTTACCTTCTTAATTAGAATGAGACCCTCTTTTGAAATCCCTTTTCTTTTTCCAAAATCCAAAGGGCATATAAATTAGCACACACATAGAAGTCATCGTGAATTCTTGATTAATAAAATTCTTCTTTTTTAGATTACCTTTTAATTTTGGGTTAATATATTTGTATGGCCTGAACTTTATACATAATAAACATCCTGCCCAATTTTTTCGATCTATAACACCCTACCCTAACCCAAACTATACATCAAAGTAACGAAATTGGCCAAACCCGATGGTTGACCGTTATCTTGGACGGTCAAACACGTTGACTAACGGTCAACGTGCCATGTCACTGCCAAGTCATCAACTTCCACTTAATTTTTTTTTTATGTTTTCCACCTATTACCACTTTTATTTTTCATTTTGAACCAAAAGAAGGAAAAAAAATTCATTTTGAATCAAGAAAAATAAAAATGGTAATAGGTGGAAAATATAAAAAAATTTAAGTGAAAGTTGTTGATTTGGTAGTGACGTGGCGTGTTGACAGTTAGTCAACACGTTTTACCATCCAAGATAACGCATACATCGGATTTGACCAATTTCGTTACTTTAATGTATAGTTTGGGTCAGGATGTTATAGATCGAAAAGATTGGTCAGGATGTTTATTATGTGCAAAGTTTAGGCCATACAAATATATTAGCCCTTTAATTTTATATATTATTATTTTTACTTGAATCTATTTTCTCTCTATCTTCTTTTTCTCATCAGTCTACTTCCGTTCGGCTATGTATGCAAGCATTTTAGGCAAATTGCGCAACAACAAAGCACATAGAGATTCATGGGTCTCATGGAACAATTTAACTTCAACCAAAAAACATGTTTTTGGTTTGAAATAAAAAGAGTTATTGTGAGAACTCTAAAGTTAAACGTGCTCAGGATGAAACAGTGCAGAGATGAATGATCTATTAATCATCATGATGCGAAGAAAACCAAAAATCGTGTGAACTAGACCTAAAATGAATAACATTTTTGTCAAGAAAAGGGTTGAGATGTTACGATATATGTATACTTCCAGTTGTCCACCAATTCACCTCTCCAACATTACTCAATCAGATCACCAAGTTAATTTTTGGGCTAATACCACTACAACACCTGAACTATCGCAAAAATGCCACTTGTGTCCTATTGTTTCCAATATTCCATCTGTGTCCTGAACTATGATACTTTGTGTCATTTGTATCCTGTCAATTTTGTTGACCGTTAAAGATAACGGTTGACCAAACGGTGGTCAACGCGAAGTTGACTTTTGTTGACGTGGCAAAAAAAGAGGCTGCCACATAGGTGCCACGTCCTTGACCTAATATTTTTTTTAATTCAAATTAAATAAAAAATGAGTTAAAATTAAAAAAAAATGTAAATTCAATTATGTTATTAAACCAAAATTTTTAAAACAAAATAATAAAAAACTCTTCTTCTTCTCTACCGATTCACACTCTCCCTCTATGAAAAATCTCCCAATCCGGCTCCGATGCGCCAACTCGCCAAAAATCTCCCAAATCCGGCTCTGAGAATCTCTCTGAAATATAACCCAACTCGCCAATCTTTTATCGTGCCGCTACTATGGCCGGAACCCACAGAATGGGGTTAATTGAAAATCAAAATCCCAAATCGGGTAATCGCCAGAATCCAAATCGATTCTTTTGAATCCCATCATCGGAGATAGAGGGATTCTCAGCCCATGATTCATGTTCAATGATGGAAGATTTTGGCGATGAATCTAGAGAGGATTTGCGTAGGCGGCGGTTAATCTTCCTACTCTCGCCCATGCTCGATTAAGAAAGAGAAAGGAAGAAGATGGAAGTTGGAGTAGTGGGGTGGCTTGGGGTTGGGATCGAACATACCCGCCGCTAAGATGGGGGAGGCAGCTTGGTGTTGTTGATTTGGTGCCTATAATTGCTCTGTCCGCCATTTACAGAGACATCCAGATTGGAAGGAGAGAGAGAGAATCAGCGATCTGGAGAAGAGAAGTAGGTTGCCAGTGGAAGGAGCGATGGTGCCGCCGAGCTACTGGCTCCAATCGATGGCGCCGCCTCCATATCCTCGAAACCCCTTCAGCTTGTTACGTTCGTGTCGGCTGTGTTGGGGAAGAAAGGAAGGAGCGATGGTGCCGCCGAGAAAATTGCGGCAGGAAGTCATGGAGGGGGATTCGGGGAAGAAGAGGTAGGATTTTTATTTTATTTTATATTTTAATTATTTCCTTTTTCTTATTTTATTAATATTAGATGGAAAAAATTAATATTAAAAGTTCCACGTCAGCTGCCACATCAGTGCTGACTAGATTTTCTGTTAAAAACTAATGGTCAACAAAAGTCAACACTAACGGAATCATAGTTCAGGACACAGATGGAATATTGGAAACAATAGGACACAAGTGGCATTTTCGCGATAGTTCGGGTGTTGTAGTGGTATTAGCCCTTAATTTTTTCATCTTTCTCTAAACTAGATTATTGTTTGTGGGGAATAAATTCATGTATTTAGTGGATGGGAGCAAGAGATATTATACTCCACCATCAATAGAACAATTTAATAAGCAAGATAGTGATCATAACCATCAGCATTTGATTTGCCATATAAAAGGGGAAAGGAATTGGGTCTTTGATAATTTGTGCTTAGCCTTTGAGGAATATTTCCTAGACATCCAATGGCTACTTCAAGCTAAATAAAGGAAAGACGGATTCTGTGTGCTAATGTTAGATACTTAGATTTAATTATTTGAGTCTTCCTGTCTAACTTGAGTGCAAATTCTGGTAGAGTGCGCACCAAGTTTCTACCCCTATATATCTAAGCTTATCGTAATAAAGCAACCATCCATGAAGAAGAATATACTCGCGTGTTTGCATGAATTAAATTCCAATTAGGACTATAAATAAATTAGTGTATATATCTTCCCAACATATGGTAAGTTTAACATTCAAAAAAAAAATCGGCTCAAAATATTGTTTATTTTGGGAGTATAATCTTTTTAGGAGGGATAATTGTACATATTTCTGTCAAATCCTTCTATTATTAAGTACACCTGGTACCATTTTGATAGTCCAGAATTTTTCGGGTGTTTGATGTTGGCTTCTCAATGTATCATCAATTTTTAAAGTCCTCCACTTAATACATTTAACCTTCGGTTCTTACAAGAACTCATCTATTTCACCTCAAAACACATTTTTTCATTTAAAGTCAGAATGTTCTATTATGGCTGGAGGTTCGGTTATCGGTTGCCGGTTAACCGGCCGGTTAAACCGATGATTACCGGTTAACCGACTAACCGAAAAAATGTTCGCGGGCGGTGTTCGGTAGCGGGGTTAGATGAACGGTTAACCGGATAACCGACGGTGATAACCGCCGGTTAACCGACACATCTAACCCCCTCATTCTCGTAAAACGACGCCGCACCACTTCCTAAGAACAAACCCTAATCGAAGCCACCCCTAACCCCTTCCTTTCTCTTCTCTGCATCGCGAAGACGCGAGCTCTCTGCCTGCCGCCTGCCCTGACTCCTCCCTGCCCCCTGCCCTGAACGGCGAATCTTTCCCCCTCCATCAGTCCATCTCGTTCTCTCTTCTTCCCACTCCCAGGCGGCCCCAGCGAAGCACGAGAGCGACGCCGCCGCTCTCCGCCATCTCCTCCCCGACCAGCTTCCCGACTCGCCGCCAGCCACAGTCCTCCGTCGACGTTCCTCCGCCGCCAGCTATAGTCCCCCGCCGCTGTTCCTCTGCTGACCAGTCCACGAGCAGCCAGCAGCCGCTGCTGTTCCTCCCCTCTGATCAAGCTGATGTGAGTTGTGACTTCACAATTCAGACTTGTTTTGAATTTGTGATGGATAATTCATAGTTTCAATTTAGATGATCATGAAATGGATAGTGAGCCTTCTCTTGTGGGCAGGCATGACAGCCTTCAGTTTCAGATGCAAATGAAAATGAAACTATGAAAGTATATCATGTTAAATTGTTAATGAAATGGCTTGTACTTGTGGACAGCAGGACATGCTTGTACTTGTTGTTAGAGAAATGGCTTGTACTTATACTTGTGGACAACTACTTTTTTTCATTCATTATGGATTATATAATTGATCATTGAGAATGATAATTAAATGAGTGTTATGTGTGTGTGAATTATGTGCAACAAGATTCCTATTTGTCTAGTGGTTATGGCCACTGATTTAGATGATTTTTTTTGAATTGAGTTTCAATTTGTGTAATTGTTTTTGTAGGGCGAGACCTACGGCTCCTCGTGGTGGACGTGGCGGACGAGGTGTCCCTACTGCTGTGACTGCTCCTCATGGTGGGAGACCTACGACTCCTCGAGGTTGTGGTGGTGCGACTGCTTCTGTTCAGACCCAGGGTCGTGGTGGGCGGACAGGATGTCGACCTGTTCAAACTACTGAAGCTGAACCATCTTCATCAACTCCAACGATTCCCTCCCCTGTCGACAGTGGAAGTACACCTGCCGAGAGTCCTGCCGAGACTCCTTCTGTTGACACGGGCGCTCCTGATTTAGAGACAGGTACAAAAGACATTTTTTACTTCGAGAAATGGTTGAAGACGACGGGTAAAACTCATTGTTGGAAGGTGTTTAAGAAGGTGATAGTTGACAGCAACCCGATGGGTGATAGTTGACTCAAGAGGTGGGCTTCCAACTAATCAAGATTGACAGATGATTAAGAAGTTGAAAGACTATCTAAAAGTCTTCAATGACTTGACCCTTCTAGTCTCTGGTAAGTGAAATTTCTGAACTGCATTGTTTTATTTAAATTTTTTAACCATTTGCCCATTTCTATTTGTTTTATTCTAATCTTCTTTGTTATCTTCTCATTGTACAGAAACTAAATATGTGACTATCCATATCTTCTTCAAGAAGCTTGTTACAGTATATGACATCATTGAGCAATTGAAGAATGATCTGCATGAAGAGATCCAAAAAATGGCTGAGAAGGTTGAGGAAAAGGTACAAAAGTATTAGTTTGAGTCATGTGTTGTGAACGAGAAGAACATGAAGGTGAACCACTTAATTTATATAGTCAGTGTGCTTGATCCAAGAAGTAAACTTGATTTGGTGTTCGAGGTTTTGGCAATGATGTATGGGAATGTGAAGGGAGGAGAAATGATTAACTGCATTAGGTCGGAAATGCGACAGCTTTTTGAGGTTTACAAAGGGAAGTATGGATCAAAAGCACCATCCTCTTCATTTGAGCCTACCACTGGTGAGAGCACGGCTGGTGGTGATAGAATTAAGCAGCTCGAGGAGAGGCTTAGGAAGTGGAAAAGGTAAGCACTTCTGCAGGATACAAGAGGTAGCTCTGCTGAGCTTGACATCTATTTAAGATGTCAAACTGATGGCATCAACACTCTGGAACATATTCGATTCTTGCTGAGATGGCTCGACACATCTATTTGACATCTTGAGTTGGTGGTCTCGACACTCTGGAACATATCCGATTCTTGCTGAGATGACTAAGGATATCCTAGCTGTTCCCATCTCTTCTGTTGCCTCAGAGGCAACCTTCAGCTGTGGCGGTCGGATTCTCAGTCCATGAAGGTCCTCTTTGAGTGATATCATGTTGGAGACATTGATTTGTGCGGAGGACTGGATAAAGTATCAAACTACCGGGGCCGGAGAGAATGACGATAGGGAAGATGATGAAGAGATCATGGATTTGGAAAGCGGTAAGTTCTAAAACTCTTTTAATTATTATTTGTTCAAGTAAACAGATACTATTTCTCTCCGCCTAATTCAATGTATGAATATTCTAATGCTTTGTTTTCTTTTTTCTTACGTAGTTAATACCACTTTCCAGTCGAGAATGAAAAGTGCAAGTGATGTTGGCAATGTTGCCAATGCAGATGCAAGTCTGAACATTCCAAATAGGAATGAGCAGGAGGGTGAAGAAAATGTGCCGGCGGAAGAGTATGAGAAAGATGGATATGACGATGTTGGTCATGACCTCTTGCCGCAATTGAAAGAAAAGGTTTATGTAGATGTTGGTTCTTCTTCTGTTGATAAGTGATGATTTGGTGGTGACTTGTTGATGCTATTTGGATTGGATCTATTGTAATTTGTGACTTTAAGAAGTTTATGACTTTATGTTCTAGTATTTGTGACATCAATTTGGTGATTTAAATCTATTTTCTTTGCAAAAATGATTGAAACTTAACTTGTGGAGTGATTTAGATGTATAAATGTAGGGTTGAACATTTAATTTTAGCGATCTTGTTTGTGTAGGGGGATGTCCGGTTCGGTTACTCGGTTATAATCGAGCCGACTGTGATGTTGCGGTTATCTCGGTTAATCGAGCAACTAACCGGTAACCGGCCGGCCGGTTGGCGGTAGGCCGTAGGGGTGTCTGGCTTCGCGGTTAACCAGTAACCGACCGTTCGGTTATCGGTTATAACCGAAATAACCGAACGTCCAGCCCTATGTTCTATATAGTCCATAAATCTCTTATGTACTTTTCTGTTGTAAAATTTGCCCAACCTAAGACTTTTCTAACGTGTTATAACAAGTCTCTTTAATTTGAAGAATCTTTTTATTTGCCCAACCCACTAATAATCGCATATCTATACAATAAAGAATCTTTTTAGCAAAAGCATCTAAATGTGTGCAATCTTAACAGTTTCCCTTTCCCGTGATTAAACTATGGACTTATTAAGGCCCCTAATCTAACAAAAAAAACTTATATATTTGATCTTTAAGGCCCCATTCACATGTATAGAATTAGGGATGATAATTATTCCTACCAATTAGTTACTATGGAGAACTTTTTGTATCCATTAGGTATGGAATGAGATCGCCAGAATAATACGATCAACATTTGATACGGGAGGTATTGGACTTGGTGTGGTGATTCGGGATGATGGTGGGCGGATGATTCTTGCTGCTGCAACGAAAGTTCTGGGACAATGGGAGCCAGAAATGGCGGAAGCTCTAGCTGCAGAAATGGGTGTACAATTAGCTCAATAGTTTTCGCTTTCAAACCCGATTCTGGAGACGGATTGCCTCACTTTGATCAAGAAGCTGGATAGCGCCGAGGAAATTCAGACGAAAATCGGTATAGTATGCAGAAGCATCCTTCGCTGTATCCATGATATGAGCAATGGATCATGGTGCTTTACGCCGAGAGAAGGCAATGTCGCTGCACATTATGGCTCGATCGGAAACTAGATGGAACGAGAGAGAAGTTTGGCTGGATAGACCTCCTGTTTTCTTGGTTGATCAAATTAAGTTGGATGATGTAGCCGCAAACTCTGATTAATAATATGAGCCGATATTTTCATATTATTTTTTATCTCATTTGTCTCCACTTGATAAGATGTTTGTGTTGGAATTTTGGCTCTCAAAATTTCCTACCAGGAGCAATGTATGGTTTAAATTTAATTAATTAATGCCATATAGTGTTTTGGATGATTTGAAATTAATCATTGTCAAATAACATTGTGGAGGGACCGGTTTTGGATGATAGTTAACCACAATCCAATTTTCCCCAAACCAATGCGTCCATTGCCATGAGGTTTTAAATTCCAAATGAATGAAGTGAAGGGACATGTTCCTTTTATTTGATTTGGAAGTTTGGATGGCAAAGAGACACCTCCCCTCTCATTTTTTCATTAATGCAATTACGTCCCTATAGACAACGGTTGCCATGGATAAGTGTCTTTCTATGAATAGATACACTGTTTGGCAATGAAGCATTGTGATGCTTCGTATAGTATAAGTAGAGGGATTCGGCTGATGGAAAAATATATACCATCAAACAGATTCTTCTTCTTTCTTCCAAAAATTTCTAAGTATGCTTTAGAGTTCTTGAGCCTAGAACCTAAAGTGGTGATAGTTTTATCCTCGGGAGAAATTTCCTGTAACCTAAGGCTTTGTAGATGGTGGAAATATTCTTTTCGGAAAGTGAACTTAGTTCACGACTCTATCACAATCCTGGTCACCCGGTCTTGGGCTATCGTACGTGTACCCTCGTCCCTAAAACTCCCAACAATCAGAAAGAATATTTTCTGGTATGATGGCTCGAACTGCTCTTTGCAAGAAACCGGTTCCGGTCTATGGAATTATGAGAATGTTCGATGATGAGTTTTTCATCGATGATAGTAGAAGATTGGTTTTCTTCGTACTAGTCTCATGGTGTATTCCATATTCGGAAGGTAACTTGGAAGAGGGATGATTCGAAGATGAGGAAGAAGGAGAAGGCTTCGTAAAATGGAGAAATAGAAGAATGAAAATTGCCTTTGTGTAGGTCACATACTCAATGGTTAATTTGTCTAATTCTCTATTTGACGTTTTTGAAGTTCTAAAAAAATTTGGATTTGTCTAGTGGTTTGATGGTGTGAGAAGGTACTTGCATAAGAAGGTACTTGCCTTCTCTCAATTTTTCTACATGAGAAGGTACTTGCATAAATTCCATAGTAGGAATTGTAGTGAGTTCAAGACCCCAGTGGATCCAAGTATGGAACTTATGGTTAATACTGAAAATCAGTTTTACAACTAGAGTATTCCATGTTAAATTGAGGGCTCGATGTATGAATGACTTGCATGATGCTAGATATCGCATATGCGATAGAACAATTAAGTCGGTACATGATGAATCATAGTGCTCATCATTTGAAATGAAGTGAGGCGTGTACTAAGGTATCTCAAAGGCGCATTTTATTGAGTTATAGTGGTTTTCCATCCATTTTTGGAAGGATTTGTTGATGTTAGTTGGATTTCTCATAATACTTCAACATTGAGATGAGTCCTCTTGCTGGGGGAGGTGCCATATTTTGGGCCTCTAGTAAGCAAACTTGCATCACTAGTTCCACTATGGAGTCAAAGTTTGTGACCTTGATTTCTCTTAGAGAAAAGTCATTATTGTTGAGAGGTTTGGTGTATGACATATATTTATGGCCTAAACCAATCTCACATATTACTATCTTTTGTGATAGTAATGCTAATTTGGCTAAGACATATAGTCAAGTGAAAATGACAAGTACAATCATGTGGGAGTAAGACACGGTAAAAGCTGTGAACTGATCATTCATAGTGTTGTGTCTAGACAGTATGACCAAACTCAAAATAATTTGGTTGATCATTTGACGAAGTGGTTAACTAGTGACTTGGTGATCAAGTCTGTAAAAGGGATGGGTTAAAGTCCATATAATTTCTGGTAATGGGACACCCAATTCCCCTCTAATACAACGTTAGAGGCTGAATTCAATGTGGAAAGCTTATTATCAGAAATTGAAGCACACAATTTGTCATCCCAAGGTATGTGCTTGTTACCCCGCATGAGAGAGGAGGATGAAGTTTAAAACTTCTTAATTGAATCTTTGAAAAAGTGTATTATGCGGGTACACGAATAAGAGATTCAACCTACGTAAGCATGAAGTGTAGCCGCTTCAAGAAACCCGGACTTTGGTTTCGTGTGCGCTTATGAGAAGGATTGGACACATGGCGGATAATAGTGTCAAGGCGCTTAAAAGTTTGAAAACTTAAGTGTATATTATCTTCGAATATTCATATGAGTCAATGGGTTCAATCGTAACCGACACCCTTTGTATTCGAGTATTCGTCAAGTGTAATATACTAAGGTGAAAATTTAATCGTCACGACATTTTCATTTATGCTTAAGTTTTGGTGGAAGAATGTTGTGATTTTAGAGAATTCTACGAATACACTAAAATGGGGGAGGAATGTTGGAATTTTGGCTCTCAAAATTCCTACAGGAGCAATGTATGGTTTAAATGTAATTAATCAATGCCATATAGTGTTTTGGATGATTTGAAATTAATCATTGCCAAATAACATTGCGGAGGGGCCGGTTTTGGATGGTAGTTAACCACAATCCAATTTTCCCCAAACCAATGCGTCCATTGCCATGAGGTTTTAAATTTCAAATGAATGAAGTGAAGGGACACGTTCCTTTTATTTGATTTGGAAGTTTGGATGGCAAAGAGACACCTCCCCTCTCATTTTTTTCATTAATGCAATTACGTCCCTCTAGACAACGGTTGCCATGGATAAGTGTCTTTCTATGAATGAATACACTGTTTGGCAATGAAGCATTGTGATGCTTCGTATAGTATAAGTAGAGGGATTCGGCTGATGGAAAAATATATACCATCAAACAGATTCTTCTTCTTTCTTCCAAAAATTTCTAAGTATGCTTTAGAGTTTTTGAGCCTAGAACCTAAAGTGGTGATAGTTTTATCCTCTGGAGAAATTTCCTGTAACCCAAGGCTTTGTAGAGAGTGGAAATATTCTTTATGGAAAGTGAACGTAGTTCACGACTCTATCACAATCCTGGTCACCCAGCCTCGGGCTATCGTACGTGTACCCTCGTCCCTAAAAGTCCCAACAGTTTGTACACATTCATAATTACAAGTCAAGATATCTCTCGTTCATTTATTATCGAGTTAAATTTATGAGATGCTAAGGCCCTGTTCACTTCCATTTTCCTTTCCTGGTTTTAGTTTTCATGTCATAAATTTGGCAACCGAAACGAGAAAATTTGTTTACTTTTTGTTTGAGTCTAACTGAGTGTAGGAGGTAGACTCGGATAGAATGAGGGTGAGAAGAGCAAACAATGGAAGGTTTGGGACACCATAGATTTTTAGAGAGAAGAAGTTCTTAGTAAGTAGAGTGAGAATGTCCCAAAAATGCGATCCCCTCACCCACCAGAGTAAATGCCATATTTATAGGCTACATGGTGGTGGGTGAGTTTACAAGGTGACATGGCTGCTGACATGTCAGACTTTAGACCATACTTCTACCTAGGGCTAGGGGGCTCATCCATGATCACTCCTAGGACTATGATAGGACTATGATGTGACTGCTCTCCGAGGGATGTGGCGTCGTTTGTGACTTCTCTTGGCCTGGTCAACGCTTAACTGAAAAGTCGTCGTTCGGTGTCTTGGACTCTTGTTCCTGCGCGCAAGTCTCGTTACGCTCGAGATTCTCGTGCGGGTGGAGGCATGGTCGCGTTGGCGCGTCTGACTCTTTTGTGGCAATCCCGCGTTGTTTCCTTGGCGCGAGTAGACCCGAGCCGCACCCCAACAATTGCCCCCCATCAGGTGGTATTCCGTGGATGCCGCCTGTTTGATTTCCGCGAGATTGACTCGGGTCGGCGC